ATCAGTTAACACCTTCCAGCGTGCAGTAACCAACCTCCATCAGTCCATGCACACACTTTGTCATTGTTACCTGTTGCCCGAAGCCCACAGTTGGATGGTAAGTTCTTCAGTGCAGGAGCAGTGTCTATTTTATTGACCATAAAGCACCAAGCAAGTTTTGGGTACTCTATGGATAATAAATTTAATAATAATTCCAATCACTTTTACTATGCTTTATGTTCGTAAGTTTTTCTATTGCAAGATTAGCTCACATTTTACCAAATCAGTTGCTCCATGAAACTACTGAAGTCTGAATGAAAGCTATGGGCTTGATGGTGGGAGATGCTGAAGCACCCTCAAGTTTCAAAGTCAGTCAAAAGCACTTAGCTCTATCCAGGAGTTGCCTGTGCTTCTAGAACCAAGCCCAAAGTGAATATCAGTAATTTGGTATAGTAGTCCTATACGCAATAGTAGATCTCTTAGAATTGTTAAACTGGTACATTCTGAAGCTTAATGAAAATATATGGTGTGGCTTTTTTGTGGTACCCCTGTTCTATTCCTAAGGTCTTGTACATATTATACTGATAGTGCAAATTATGCACATCTCTCAGGAAGCAATTAGTTTCAAAGCAGCTGAGGCTCTTTAAGAAGTTTCATGAAACTAGCATGGGGAGACAGGAGGAAATTGAGCTGAGTCCTTTCTCTGGACTAAGAACAGGAATTTTTCTGCCTCTACAGTGGTGGGTGGTCTCCTTATTCATGCAGACTTGAGGGTTTCTGTGGCTGTTGTTTGAACTCTGAAATATTAGAATAGCTCTGTGATGGGTTGGATCACAGAAACCCCCTTTGGGACTGCCACCTGATGTGCCAAAACTACCTCTGAGCCAGTTTTCCCTGGCAGCTTGGGACTTCAGTATCCTGCTGGCTTGAGCCAGACATGCTAGCCTGCTACAAACACACACCCAGGTTTGAACAACTTACCCCAAAAGCTGCAGGCTTAACTGAAAACGGCTTAAGAAGTGTTCCTATCTCCAACACTCAAATGCCCAGCTCCCAATGGGGTCCAAACCCCAAATAAATCCGTTTTACTCTGTATAAAGCTTACACAGGGTAAACCCATAAATTGTTCGCCCTTTATAACACTGATAGAGAGATATGCACAGGTGTTTGCTCCCCTCTCCCCCCAGGTATTAATACATACTCTGGGTTAATTAATAAATAAAAAGTGATTTTATTAAATACAAAAAGTAGGATTTAAGTGGTTCCAAGTAATAACAGACAGAACAAAATGAATTACTAAGCAAAATAAAACAAAACACGCACGTTTAAGCCTAATACAGTAAGAAAGTGATTACAGATAAAATCTCACCCTCAGAGATGTTTCAATAAGCTTCTATCACAGACTGGACACCTTTCTAGTCTGGGCACAATCCTTTCCCATGGTAGAGCCCTTGTTCCAGCTCAGGTAGTAGCTAGGGGATTCCTCATGACTGCAGCTCCCTTTGTTCTATTCCACCCACTTATATATCTTTTGGACAAGGTGGGAATCCTTTGTCCCTCTCTGGGTTCCCACCCCTCCTTCTTAATGGAAAAGCACCAGGTTAAAGATGGATTCCAGTTCAGGTGACATGATCACATGTCACTATAAGACTCCAAGCTCTCATTCTTCCCAGCCTGACTCACAGGAAGGCCTGCAAGCAAACAGCCATCCATAGTCAATTGTACTGGTTGATGGGAGTCATCAAGATTTCAAACCACCATTAATGGCCCACACTTTGGATAACTACAGTAGGACCTCAAAGTTGTAATTCATATTGCTACTTCAGATACAAGAATGATACATTTATACAAATAGGATGACCACACTCAGTAGATTATAAGCTTTGTAATGATACCCTACAAGAGACCTTTTGCATGAATCATATTCCAGTTACATTATATTCACACTTATTAGCATATTTTCATAAAATCATATAGAGTGCAACGTCACAAGCTCCTATTTGAGTTTGTGCACATCTTATGTGCTGGCTAAAGAGGAATTTCTGGGACTGTCTTTGTAGTTTGTCAGTACTGCTGCTTGATTGGTTAGAGCAATAATTTGTTGAATGATCTAATTACCTTCCCTCCCATTTCTCCTGGGGTTGAATGTGCTGCCTTTGTAGCATTCCTGATGATTCTCAAAGCCAAAATAACTCCTGCATGGCAGTTATAACAAAAACATGTACAGGCATGATCAGTAGTAGCCAGCGTGGATTTACTAAAAACAAATCATGCCAAATCAGCTTGATTTACTTCTTTGGCAGGGTAACTAGTTTGGTGGATAGGGGAAATGCAGTGGACATAATATACTTGCACTTTAGCAAGGCTTTTGACACAGTCCCACATGACATTCTGATAAGTAAGCTGGAGAAATGTGGGCTTGGTGGAACTACCATTAAGTGGATACATAATTGGCTAAACAACGGCAAAAAATGAATAACTATTAATGGAATGACAGGTTTCAGAGTAACAGCCGTGTTAGTCTGTATTCGCAAAAAGAAAAGGAGTACTTGTGGCACCTTAGAGACGAACCAATTTATTTGAGCATGAGCTTTCGTGAGCTCCACGGTATGCATCCGATGAAGTGAGCTGTAGCTCACGAAAGCTCATGCTCAAATAAATTGGTTAGTCTCTAAGGTGCCACAAGTACTCCTTTTCTTATTAATGGAATGATGTCAGATTGGAAGGAAGTCTCGAGCGGAGTTCCACAGGGGTCTGTTCTGTATCCAGTATTATTTAACATCTTTATTAATGACATAGATGTAGGAATAGAGAGCATACTGATCACAAAGCTGTGGGGAGTTGAAAACACTTTGGAGGATACAGCTAAAATTCAAAGGGATCTTGATAAATTGGAGATCTGGGGCTATAGACAACAAAATGAAACTCAGCAAAGACAAATATAAGGTGCTATATTTAGGGAAGACAAAACAAATACAAAATGGGGTATAACTGGCTTGGCAGCAGCATTTCTGAGAAGGATCTGGGACTTACAGTGGATCGCAACCTTCATGTAAATCAACAGTGCGATGCTGTTGCAAAAAAAGCAAATGCAGTTTTGGGTTGCATTAACAGAGGCATAGTATACATGTCATGGGAGGTGATAGTACTGCTCTATTTGGCGCTGGTTAGGCCTCAGCTGGAGTACTGTGTCCAGTTTTGGTCACTAATGTATAGAAAGGATGTAGAGAAACTGGAAAGGATCCAGAGGCGAGTGACAAAGATGATCAAAGGGATGGAATGCAAACCATATGAGCAAAGGCTGAAGTAACTGGGTATGATCAGTTTGGAAAAGAGGAGATTAAGGGGGGATATGATAGTGGTCTTCAAATACTTGAAAGGCTGCCATAACGGAAATGGGGAAAAGTTGTTCTCTCTTGCCACAGAATGCCGGAAAAGAGGCAATGGGTTCAAACTGCAGCATAGCAGATTTAGATTAAAACTCAGGAAAAACTTCCTAACTGTAAGAATAGTAGGACAATGGAACAGACTGCCTAGGGAGGTTGTGGAAGCTGCCTTGATTTGTCATTCAAAGTTCCCATGAATGCTACCCCTCAGTTATCCTGCATTTTGTTTTTTCATTTCTATTTTCAACCTGTACCATTCTGGCTTATATTAATTTATAAACTGTCAATTTTTGCTGCTCTTGGGCTGATTCACCCCTTCCGTTTCTCACACCTAGTGTGTGACTGTTGAGCTTATCAGTGCCAGACTGCAGGGGAAGTGGGACTATGGTTTCAACAATAGCTGTTTCTGGAAATTTTGCAACACTAAAAGTTTACTGAGAAGGACTTGGACTCCTAAACTACATTGACCTGTAAACATTGGCTGCCAAGCAAATGGTATCATCTAAGTGCTGTAATGAATGGTGATGAAGGAGATGGGCATCAAGGTATTTCAATGGGTGACTATCATTTAAGCTCATTTGGGTCTGATTATGATAGTTGGGAATTGTTCTTTGTTGATGTTGGGGGGAACATCTGTAAGGGTGTATCAGCCTGATAAAAATGATCTTTACAGGTCTCGGTGTATGACAACTATGGTGACTCCGGTAACTGAACATGAGTTCAGAGTTATCTGGTTTGCACTGCTCCAGTTTCCATTTCCCTAGGTTTCTGTTTGTACTTTCTAGCACTGACATACATCTGTGAGAAGTGAGGAACAGAAAATGAAACTTAGTTTAGCTTTCTCACTTCTAACCTGGAGCCAGATGCCACCTACGCAAAAAGCTGGATCGCTGTAACTAGTTTTTAATAGAAAATAAACCATTTAGTGTAACTTGTACTTTTCCTGTTTTTTTAGTGTATTGCCCAGGAATCACAGTGCAACACACTTTGCTGTGTGGAATTAATTAATTCACAAAAGGTCATAAAGGGTCTAAAGCATGAATATTGACTGCTGCTGAAGTTACTCATCTAGCTTATGTGAACTTTTGTAACCTTTGTAAAAAAGGGTATTGTGATGCTTCCTAGATATGCACTTTTTAGGACTGGCACATCTCTTGCTATCCAAATGTTAGAGTGGGTCTCAAGTAATGAGTTCACTTTGGGGTTTTAGTTTGGTCCATTACAAAGACAAAAGACCATTTGAAAAATTCAGCAATAGGTTTGAATTTAATTTACCTTCAAATTTTGAGATATTTAGATTTAGGATTTTGATTGGGTCAATCTCTGTTAAATACTTATTTATACAAAGCTAGAGCGCTGTAGTCTTGTCCAATAGAATTCCTCCATTTTTTAAAAGATTTGTTCTGGTGACCTTACACATCAACATTTATGCAAAAACTGTGCTAAATTAGGTTTTTCTTTGTTAAAAGAAATTGTTTTGATGCAATTTCAAAAATATATACTGCTTGCTGGAAGATTATCTACCAAACAAATTATTAAAGGGAAAATTCAAAATCCTGCTTTAAATGCTTGCCTGCTGTTTAATTGACGTCTTTAGGAATGTAGTGCAAAACAGCCACATAGTCTTGCGCCACATATATGGTACTGCCTTTTTTGAACTGCTGGCATTTCAGAGAACACTGCTGTGGTTCGTTGTTGGGGTGGAACTTGTAACACAGGAATTATGTAGTTGGAAACAAGTCCTATGCCAGTCATGCCTATAGCAAAACCCCGTGTATTTCACGAAGGTGAGTGGAAATGATTTCAGTTTGGGAAGCAATTTTTGGATTCTTTTGAATGAAAGGCACCATAGAGATGTAAATCATGATCATTACCATGTAGGTGGAGAATAGTAATGTTAATGTCCATTCAAGATTTTTGAAACAAGGGCACTTGGATCAGATATGGATCTGTATTTTGACTCCTTAAAAATTAGTGATCAGTTGCAAAATTTATAGATAGAAATTTATGGGTGTTTAATCGGACATTTGGTTCCGACTCTTCTCTACTTGGATTTTTGGCCTGACTTGCACTTCATAATCTGATAACTGTTGTTTATGGTACTAACCTTCTTCTGTGGTTATAGAGCCTTGAGTGTGTGCATGGTTATACCCCTTCTCTGCATTCAGTATCTAAAAACTTTGAAATGGTCCATGCCAGTTGTGTACAGAATACAGTGCATCTTTTAAAATAAAAGAACCTTGCTTAAATCTTCAGTCTCTCATCACCATGAACATCTATCTGTTATGTCTGGCTTTCTCATTGTGTTGTTTTGCTAACTGTGTGGGTGTCTACTGTGTTGTTGTTCTTCTATATTCCTGTGCTACTGCTTCTCCTTGATGGCAAACTAGAATCCCTCTGTGTTACGGGGCAGCTACGGTATCATCCATCCTGAATGTTCAAAAATCATGAGATTGAGTGTAAATCATAGCATTTTTAAAATTAAATTTAAATTAAAAAAAATAGCTGGGTTCGCTTCATTTCCTTCTGGTTCTTGTGCATCCAGAAGTGCCAGGAATGTATCTTTTTTTAAAAAAAAAGAATGCTGATGTTTTCATGTAATCGCATGACTCCAGATCTGGGGCTTTCAGAAAAAAATATTGCAGGAATCATGATAAAATTGTGAAAGTTGGCCACACTACATCTGGTGTTTAAAACTTTGTGGTTCTGGAGCAAAATTTGAAATTGTTTTGTCAATTAAAAATGTAATACATAATTTTATACCTCATGGCATTTTGCACAATAAATCATTAGTATGAATTTGAATGTCATTTATTTTCCTTCCTTACTGATCTTTGTTACTTTAACTTGCTGATAGAGTCATCAGAATAATTAATTTTCCTTCATTTTGTGCTTCTAAAAACTTGCATTTCTACTGCAGTGGTAGAGGCATGAAATCCTGGTAAAACAAGTGATATGCAAAATACATAAGCACAGGCTGAACTTTTCAAACACAGGGTCTTTGTTAGGCACCTAAATCCATAGCTAGGTCATATTTCTTTCTCCTTGTGTCAATCCCTCCTCCCCCCCGAGGGGTGTATGTGTCCTGATTTGTTAGAAGTTCTGAGCATCTATGTCTTCCACAGAAGTTAACAGGAGCTGTAAGCACCTCTGAAAGTCAGTTCCCTTTTAATTTAGAAGCCTAACTTGAGGAGAACAGGTTTGAAAAATTTGGCCTTCATTCTTGGAAATTGTGAGTTTCCTAGTTTTCGCTAGAACGTGTTAAACCAAAATGAAAGATTGCATAGGTGGGGGTTTAGAATTTGAACCTAGATCCAGATTTGCAACTTTCTCCTATTCTTACAATGAGCCAAATCAAATCAACCCCCCCCTAAACTTTGGATCTAATTTTTTCCTAACGTACCAAATATCTAAGTTCTACTTCATGTGTACAAAAGCAAGTAGTATGTGTCTTGGTATTGCCCGTAGGCAAGTTGGTAAAGTGGCTGCTGTAGCCTCCTTGAAACCTCTGATCAATGCACACTTGGGCTCAAAACCTAAGGAGAGATTCCAGGGTGGATTTGATTTAAATCACTAGTCAGGAAGACTCGATTTAATCATGGATTTCAACATAAAAGTGCATTTTTGTTAGTTGTTATAACCTTAATACATATTCTTCTCAACTCAGAGATAGATGTAGGTTTCATTTGTAGAAGGTACACACTATACATTTTTAAAGTGATTTATTTTGAAAACTTTTCAGAGGAGTTTTATAGCTATATCAGAAAATGAATGATTGTTTGGTTATTTCATTTACCAAAGGTAATTGAAGCAGATATTTATGAAGTCATTGGGAGATGAACTATTTCCAATTCAACAGGTTAATCATTAATATTTGGAGGATTTTCTTGCCACGTTGTATTAGGAGGAGAACATCACCAGACAGACATTTAAATTGTTTTATTTAACTAAAACAACGTTATGTATTTTGGATTTTTTTCTTCAACAGCAAACATACAATATTTTAACAAAACAAGCATATGAATTTTTGAATTTAGTTAAACATTCAAGTTTTTTAAAATCGGGTTTGTTTTTGTTAAAATTGTTTTTAACTAAAATAGTTAAATGAAATATTGAAAAAAAACCAACCAAAAATTAAATTGACTATGTCAGCCAGGTCAACTTGAGAAACTTAAAATATTGGCTTCTGCAGCTAACTCAGTCGCCTTCACCTTCACCTTCATTTTCTTGTTTGTTCATAATCTGAAAAAGAAAAACAAGCTTTCCTGCTTTTTCAGATCCCAAATGAGTTCTCAATTTGGAATGAATTAGTCCAAACAAAGAAAATAGTCTTTTTACACCAGCAGAAGAAGCAACTGCTGTTAAAAGTGAGATTATCATAAGAAAGGCCATACTGGGTCAGATCAAAGGTCCATCCAGCCCAGTATCCTGTCTACCGACAGTGGCCAATGCCAGGTGCCCCATAGGAAGTGAACCTAGCAGGTAATGATCAAGTGATCACTTTCCTGCCATCCATCTCCACCCTCTGACAAACAGAGGCTAGGGACACCATTCCTTACCCATCCTGGCTAATAGCCATAAATGGACTTAACCTCCATGAATTTATCTAGTTCTCTTTTAAACCCTGTTATAGTCCTAGCCTTCACAAAATCCTCAGGCAAGGAGTTCCACAGGTTGACTGTGCGCTGAGTGAAGAAGAACTTCCTTTTATTTGTTTTAAACCTGTTAGGCATTAATTTCATTTGGTGGCCTTTAGTTCTTATACTATGGGAACAAGTAAATAACTTTTCCTTGTTCATTTTCTCCACACCACACATGATTTTATATACCTCTATCATATCCCCACTTAGTCTCCTCTTTTCCAAGTTGAAAAGTCCTAGCCTCTTTAATCTCTCCTCATATGGGATCCGTTCCAAACTCCTAATCATTTTAGTTGCCCTTTTCTGAACCTTTTCTAATGCCAGTATATCTTTTTTGAGATGAGGGGACCACATCTGTACTCAGTATTCGAGATGTGGGCGTACCATGGATTTATATAAGGGCAATAAGATATTCTCCGTCTTATTCTCTATCCCTTTTTTAATGATTCCTAACATCCCGTTTGCTTTTTTGACTGCCGCTGCACACTGCGTGGACGTCTTCAGAGAACTATCCACGATGACTTCAAGATCTTTCTCCTGATTAGTTGTAGTTAAATTAGCCCCCATCATATTGTATGTATAGTTGGGGTTATTTTTTCAGGTGTGGATTACTGTACATTTATCTACATTAAATTTCATTTGCCATTTTGTTGCCCAATCACTTTGTTTTGTGAGATCTTTTTGAAGTTCTTCACAGTCTACTTTGGTCTTAAGCATCTTGAGCAGTTTAGTATCATCTGCAAACTTTGACACCTCACTGTTTACCCCTTTCTCCAGATCATTTATGAATAAGTTGAATAGCATTGGTCCCAGGACTGACCCTTGGGGAACACCACTCGTTACCCCTCTACATTTTGAAAATTTACCATTTATTCCTACCCTTTGTTCCCTGTCTTTTAACCAGTTCTCAATCCATGAGAGGCTTTTCCCTCTTATCCCATGACAACTTAATTTACGTAAGAGCCTTTGGTGAGGGACCTTTTCAAAGGCTTTCTGGAAATCTTTGTACTCTTAAGTACACTATGTCCACTGGATCCCTCTTGTCCACATGTTTGTTGACCCCCTCGAAGAACTCTAATAGATTAGTAAGACATGATCTCCCTTTACAGAAACCATGTTGACTTTTGCGCAACGATTTATGTTCTTCTATGTGTCTGACAATTTTATTCTTTACTATTGTTTCAACTAATTTGCCCGGTACTGATGTTAGATTTACCGGTCTGTAATTGCCAGGATCATCTCTTAAATATTGGCTTTACATTAGCTATCTTCCAGTCATTGGGTACAGTAGCTGATTTAAAGGACAGGTTACAAACCATAGTTAATAGTTCCACAATTTCACATTTGAGTTCTTTCAGAACTCTTGGGTGAATGCCATCTGGCCCCGGTGACATGTTATTGTTAAGTTTCTCAATTAATTCCAAAACCTCCTCTAGTTGCACTTCAATCTGTGACAATTCCTCAGATTTGCCATCTACAAAAGATGGCTCAGGTTTGGGAATCTCCCTAACATCCTCAGTCGTGAAGACTGAAGCAAAGAATTCATTTATTTTCTCTGTAATATCTTTATCATCTTTAAGTGCTCTTTTTGTATCTCGATTATCCAGGGCCCCACTGGTTGTTTAGCACGCTTCCTGCTTCTTATATACTTAAAAAACATTTTGTTATTACCTTTTGAATTTTTGGCTAGCTGTTCTTCAAACTCCTTTTTGGCTTTTCTTATTACATTTTTACATTTAATTTGGCAGTGTTTATGCTCCTTTCTATTTACTTCACTAGGATTTGACTTCCACTTTTTAAAAGATGCCTTTTTATCTCTCACTGCTTCTTTTACATGGTTGTTAAGCCACGGTGGCTCTTTTTTAGTTCTTCACTTCAACAGTCTCTGAATCCAAGTGCTTAAGTGACTTCCAACTGTTCACTGGTGTGACTTTCTTTAAAACATCATCAACAAACATATATTTCTTGAATGGTTCATTCCTAGCTCTGAAGTTTATTATAGTTGGCATTATGGCGGGATGATTGCTGGATGCCTATGTCATAGCCAATGCCTTTTCTTCAGCAGTTAAGGTTTGACCCTGGTACTGATTATTGAGAATATTTGCAAGAAAATGAGTTGAAGATAGTGCTTGTCCCATTGTTTTTTT